TATGCTTATAACTACTACCCAAATTGATTATAAAACTTTATGCTACAAAAGGTCCTCTAACAGGCATGTCAACTCAAACATCAAATGTTAAACAAAGGGTCACGTCTTCTATACATACTGAGCTACTAAGGCCAAGGCAAAGATAAAACAATCCAAGATCGTAAAATCATTTAGACATACACTACTAGAAACTTGAGTTTCAGCTACAGATTTAGAGAGGGATTAAACCTGTAGCAAATTTTAGGCTTATATTGAGGGAATTACGAGAGATCTGTGACGGTTTAAACAATTATTTATTTATTCAACATTTAGCATATTAGAGAGTGTTTAGCCAGGGATCAGCTATAGATCTCACAAATCGGTGGAAAACGAAGGCATTTGGCGAGGGTTCAACGAGGGAAAAAAATTGTCAGCTTTTTGGCCATCTGTTACGTGTTTAGCGAGAGAATGCCGATGGAGCATACAAACGTTATGTTTTTATAATTGACGATCCCTCGCTGAAATCGATACTCCGATTCCAGTTCCACGAAGTCTGTGTGAGTTTCCTTCCATCCCAAATCAGATTTGTCACTCCAATTGAGCACACTCTCACCCAAATCTGAAATTGACAACACTCTAGAGTTGCAACTTGCTTAACCTAATCTCACCCTCTCTGTTCAAACAGACGACGACACCACGGACCATTGCATCTTCCGATTCCGAAAGCCTCCACATTTTTCAAATCTAAAATTATTCTTTGTTAACTTCTTATTCAGGTAAATCTCTTGATTTTATTTGCTTTAGTCATATACTAGGTTAGGTTTGGTTCAGTTGCACAATATATTACGTTAGGGTCTAATTTATCCATTTTTTTCCTTTTTCAATCATCATTCCTCTTATAGTTAATTTGGTTGTGTTTGGTGTTTGGATGTCCTCCTTCTGGTTTCTGGTTTCATATCGAGTATTCTTCATGTGCATCTAGTCTATTGTTAGATTAGGAGACTTGTTAGTTTATATTTTTTGCAAAACCTGTAAATCCATGTGTTTTCCATGGAAAGGCTATTGGTTTTTACTGATCGATGAGTTCTACCTCTTAGTTATGAATGATATAAATGTAAATTGGAGCAGGTTCTGGTCTTTATCTGGTTTTTCTTCCTACGACCTTAAGAGCATCTGTTATGTTGGTTGATTGTGCCCACAATGTGAAGCTTATGTTTGTGTATATTACAACACTCTCCATATCAAAACCAGCAATGAACAAATGGATCTAGTTGCACAAGTAGGTGCAACATAATATTATTTGATTGCTGTTGAATTAGAGTTGTTGATGATATCTTTCAAAGTTAGCTTTTAGAAAGGGTAAATGCTGAAATCACCAGGGATTAAGCTTTGTGATTGTTGTGGATGAGAGCATTCTCATTAACACCATAATCTACTACACTATTTGATATTGTGTATTTTGACTTCAATGATAATTCATTTGGTCAAATGCAAAAGGGTTAAATGTAAGAAATAACAAACTAATTTCATTAATCTATTTATTATAGCATTGTAGTTTCATTTGTTCTCTATTAAAACATTTTAGTAATGTATTGATGTCTATATGATTCTAAAATCTAAATGGGTTGTCTCCAATTGGTGGTCTTTATGTGTGGAACACACAGTCCTTAATTTCCATGAAATTTGAACCTAAAACTAAAAGACAAAATTAAAGATCAAGAGTTATAATAAATAGCCCCAATCCTAAGTTAAGACTGATCAAAGACTTGAAAGTTTAAGAACCTGAGAAGATATGTAGTTTAGTTGATGGGTAGGCTAATTACTAATTATTTAATATGTTCTTCTAACATGTATCATAGAGAGCAAAATGAAAGTTATATTGAGTATACTTTCATTTATTTTTAAATTCAATACATGTAAGAAGCAAATTATCTGTCATATCATAATGAGCATCTCAATTAAGGCTTAATTATGTATGTACATACAAGAAGCACAATATAACTTAATCATCTTAATAATTCAAACATCATTAAACTTTCACAATTTTTTACATCCAATAAACGAGCAAAAATAAGTTTTTATATAATAATACTCATATCAGTTAAGAACTAGTTATAGACAAACATATATGAAGCAGAATCTAAGTTTGGCTTTTCTCTTTTTTGACCATTTTACCCCTGGACAGCAATTTTGGTAAAATGATTTCAATAAGTTTCATATAGTTTGTGTAAGAAACTTACTTGAAGAGAAAGATCATAAGCCCTTCTGCATTTTTTTTTTTTTTTTTTTTTTTATCTCCCTATGGTTTCATTTTGTTTTGGAATTATATGGTAAAATGATGAATTTGCCCTAAATTTTGTATTTTAATAGAAATTTTATAAGGGCCTAAGGGGGGATAAGATGGTCATTATGCTTGTTATTTTGGAATTATATGCTTAGGTCCATAGAATTTACATTTTGCCCTTATGATTTTTTATTAGAGCATATCTAATCATGGTAAAATTATTGCATTTTCACAAATGAAAACATTTATAGTTTTCAATCATTACCGCATTTTTAATAATTTAATCATTTTTGCCATTGTACTTTTAGTTTTTAATTATTTTAAAGTTTTGAAAATTTAAATATATATTTTTCAATGCATTTTAATTTAAAAAATCTTCAAGTTTAGTGCTCTAAGTTAAAAACTCAACACATTTTTAGCATTGTAATTTTAGTTTCAATATGTTATTCAAAAATTCAAATTTTCTTTCATATCAACGATTTTTACTTTTAAAAATCAACCCATTTTAACATTGTACTTTTCAATCATCATTAGATATTAAATAATTTAACAAATATGGCACTGTATTTATAATTCTTAATTTTTATAACTGTGTAATTTTTAAAAGTTCTTTTTTCAATGTAATTTTAAAACTGTTTTTTTTTTCAATGCGTTTTTATTCGAAAAATCTTCCAATTTATCATTCCACTTTTCCTATTATAATACACTGAATTATCAAAAATGAATCCATTTTAACATTGTACTTTTAGATTTCATTCTGTTATTGAAACATCCAACTTTTATTTCATATCAAGGCCTTTTACTTTAAGAAATCTACCATTTATAGCATTGGACTTTCAGTTTTTTTTCTTTTCCTATTTTTTTTTTAAAATTGTATATTGCATTTTCAGAAATCAATCCGTTTATAGCATTTTACTTTTAGTACTCAAGTCTTTTAATGTATTGTCTTCTTTTTAAAGATTTTTATAAATGTCTTTTCTTTGAAAAATCTTCCAATTTAGTCTCCAGCTTTAGTTTTCTTATTATTAGCACATTGTATTTTCAAAATTCAGCTTTAGTTTTCCAATTTAGTGTCCACCACTCACCCTTCTCCTTACATAAACATGACCAAATCCTCCTTTACCAAGTTTTCTTTCTAATTTATAAGCAGGAGAATTCCCAACTTGAACCTAAAACCCAAAATTATATTAAAAAAAAGTTTAAATATAAGTATATAACCACTTAAAAGAGCCTAGTAAGATGACATGGTAGATGATGTTTTAACACAAATTTTAAACATGAACCTATAACCCAAAGTTATATTAAAAAAAAAGTTTAAATGTACATAAAAACTTCTTACTTGTGTACAAAGCATGGTCCTTATCTATGTTGAAAGACCCTATGAAAGACATGGAATCCATAAAATGTATTTGTTTCTTTTTGATGTAATCCGAACATATTGACTTAATGGGTTATTCCAAAAACTTAAGACATGACTTATATAGTATAACTTTGGAAATACAGTCTTACTGACCTCACAAAGAGAGACATTCAGGGAAAAATGCAGAATAAATTTGTTTTCTTGACTCCTCTTCAACTTTTTTAAATTTGGCTCCTTTTTTTTTTGCCTACTTTTCTTCTTTACTTCAGGAGCAACTATCTGTTTTGTATAAACTTCAGACTCACACAGAAGGACCCAATGAATGAGGCACGAAATATGAAACATGTTGCATCATTGTTGTATAGTATTACATTAGATAACAAAAGATATGCAAATGACACTTTAGGTCCCTATAGTTTTAATTTTCCGGAATTATATTTTTAGTCCCTGTAGTTTTTAATTTGCATGAATTACATTTTTGGTCCCTACAATTTTGGTCACTATGAAAGTGGGAAATAAGCAAAAGACACTTTTGGTTCCTATAGTTTTAGTTTTCCAAAATTATATTTTTGGTCCCTGAAGTTTTTTGTTTGGTGTCAAGGTGTTAGATTCAGCTCAAGACCCTTCAGAGGCTGTTGTATATGAGAAGCTCCTTGTGGGAGTGGTATGAAGTTGCTATATTATTTATTTATTTTGTGAAAAATATGAGATTGAGTATTAAGCAATATGTTTTTGTAGGCTAAATGTCTGCTAGATGCCTTGCCAACAAGTGATAAGTTGTTGAGCCAAATTTTTAGTGAAGCTCCTTTTTTACCCTAGTCTGCATTTGAGCTTCTTGAAGAGATATGTTGCTCGGATAATAACTGTGGAAAAGATATCTGTGATTTTAGGGCGTCCACACCAGCGTCAGGCCTTTTTGGATATTGCCTTGAAGGTTAAAATTTTGAAATAAACACTATGTATTTTCTGTTCACCACATGCTTTCATGTATTTCTCCTCACTTTGATGCATCCTGAAATGCAGTGTGTTGTTCATCCAAAAGATGGAATCCGCGCAAAAGCTATACAACTGGTAAAACTTTTACATATTTTTGTTTTTTTTTTTGATGCACAAAGTCAAAACTACTTGATGATTGAATTTTTGCTATCAGGTGGCAAACAAACTTTATGTAATTAATTTCATCTCGGAGAAAATCGAGGATTTTTCCACAAACAAATGGCTCTCGGCTGTTAACAGAGCAGTATCAGGTGCTGAGCTGTCAGTTTGTGGGGCCAATGAGCAAAGACCTGAAGGGCAGGCGTGCTATTGCTATGTTTTGTTTAATCATCAACAACTCTTGTAATACGAATGGTAATTTAATACTTGATCCATTTTCAGATGGGAAATCAAGAAACATTAGTCAGTGGGTCTCAAATTTCCAAGCCAGGAACCTCTGAAAGTGAGTCAATGTCACCTGCACAAGCTCAACAACACCTTTCTTTGTTTTTTGCTTTATGCAACAAGGTTTGCTTTCATACAAATGATGACTTGCCTGTGTTTTGTTTTATTGTTTCTGTTTGTTACATTACATACTAGTAATGCTGATTTTTGCAGAAACCTAGTTTTCTTCAACTTGTATTTGACAAATATGATCATGCTCCAAAGGCAGTTAAGTAGGTGGGATTTTTTTTTTCTTTTTCTTGTTGAAATTTTGTGATACACAGATGTTTTAATTAATTTTGTTTCACTTTCTTTCTGATATAATGGAAAGGCTATTCATCGCCATGTTCCTATACTTATCCGGGCTTTAGGCCCATCATATTCAGATTTACTCTCCATAATATATGATCCACCTCATGGAAGTGAAAACCTCCAAGGTATAGGAAGACTGTATGAAGAAACGTGTTAAATTTGCTAAAGGACTATCCAAACTGGCAAGGTTTGTACTTACTAGAGGTAATATGATGTTACCCATTAGTATTTGATGTTTTTAAATGACTTATTAACCTTTTGTATTTGATGTTTTTGATTGTTTTGAATAATGTTTTATAGGAATGAGAACTGAAGATGATTGGATGAACATGAAATGAAGAGAGCAGCTAAAATGTTATTTTGAAGTTATGTTTTGTGAAAACTCATTTCCCGATGCTTATTTTGAAGGTTAAACTTTAATCTGTTTTTACCTCTTTTGCATACTTTGGATTTCTTGGTGTTAAAATGTTCTCAACCGTTGGGAGTTTGATGTTATGTGGACAGTTTTGTTTTTGGATGTTTTTTGAATGATATTTTGGTAAACTTGGATAGTTTTGGTATTGTAATGTTTTGTTGTATCATTATTTGATTATTTGGTGTTTTTTAGTATAATAATTTGTTGATTGTAGTATTTTTTTTCTTTTAGAATCATAATAAAACAAATAATATTACAAGTTCGCGATGGATTGGCGACAAAAAAAAATAATAATAATTTAATGCATGAATTTTGCGAGGGATTAGCTATGGAAAAAAAATCATGTCTAAAGTTTGCAACTGATCGACGACTGAACAAAAAAAAAATTAATGTATGAATTTTGCAAGGGATTAGCTATGGAAAAATCATGTCTAAAGTTTGTGATAGATCAACGACGGAAAAAAAAAATTTAGTATATGAATTTTGCAAGGGATTAGCTACGGAAAAAAAAACTGATCACTGAAATTTGCGACAGAACAGCGACAGAATGACTTTAACAAATTTTGTCGCTAATGCCCTGAGTAAATGTATTGAGTGACATTTAGCGACGGATATTCTGTCGCTACATTTGTCGCAAGGAAAAACCGATCCATCGCTAAAACCCTCGCTGAGAAATTAGCCACATGTTAATTACCTATGGAGTGAATCCGTCGCTGATCCATCGCAAACAACCTTTAGCGACGGAATAGCGACGGATTCTTCCGTCTCTAAAACCCATGTTTCTAGTAGTGGTGCAACTCTATCATTTGAAAAAGGAAAACAAATTTCATGTGTATTATCGGACATAAAATCCAAAGCGAGTGAATTCGATACGAAAATGTACATTGTTACATGTTTTGCATGTTCTATTCAGAAGTAAAGACCGAATAAAGCATTTGGAAACTTGCATGCTGACTTTGAGAACGATAAGCAATATTAGGGAATTTGTGTTGTATGCAAGAAAGTTGGTTCATAGATCACATGTAGAATCGTATTTTCATTTCACGAGTTGGTACAACCAAGAAATTCCATAAAAATTGGAAAAGAGCATAACAACAGGAATTCTTAGTTAAAAACAAAGAATCACATATGGCCAATATGTAATTGTGTTTCTATGTTTGACCATGTTTCTTGCGTTTTTGGTTGGTAACGAGAATTGTTATTGTTCAATATATATATATATATATATATATAATATATATATATATATATATATAT